ATTCGACCAGAACGGAGACCCAAGCCAAGAATAACGTTCACGAAACGCACATAATCATTGTAAGAAAGCCAACATCGAACCATCCAAGATCTAAGAATCAGGTCTCGTAAAGGAGAAGAAATTCTAAACGAAAGGGACCCGACAAAGCATCTGAGATCAGTTCAAAGTAATGTGAGAAATGCTTGCGAGGGAGTTCCACATCATCACAAGTGAAAGTAAAAAAAAAAAGAAAAAAATTAAGTTTTTTATCACGCGCCCTCTACAATTTTATAATTGCTACACCATTAGAGATGCTCTTAGCCTTCGATAACTCACTTCTTGACCGTTGATGCAAACAAAGATGGGTATTTCACAATTCATGTAAACTTGTAGGGTAAAGTTGTAGTTTTCTACTAGCTATTTCACAATTAATGTAAACTTGTGGGGGGTAAAGTTGTAGTTTTCTATATTTTATTTGACCCAAACAAAGATAACTATTTCACAATTCACGTAAACTTGTGGGGTAAAGGTGTAGTTTTTCTATATTTTAGGTGGTTATTTAAAAAGGAAAGAAAAAGGCAAGGAGGAAAAACTAATAAAAACATATAGAAGCGAAAAAACAAATCCTCTGGTGCAGAGGAGAAAGGGGAAAATGGAGATTGGCCTTCTAATCGCAAATCCAGGACCCGCCAGAACCGCCGCTTTCATGGGCGGCGCCGCCGTGTCCAGAAGCAAATTCCCCCAGTTTCTTCATAAACATCGCAGCAGTAGTTTGAAAGCGCAAGCATCCTCACATCAAAGTCTATCGAGCAATTGGGATGTTTCAAATTACAACAGCAATTTGAACGCGCAAGCGTCCTCAAATCACGGCCCATCGAGCAACTGCGATGTATCAAATTATGCTGCTCCGTCATGGATGCCGAGGTTCGAGGAGCTTGATACCACAAACATGCTTCTTCGTCAAAGAATAATCTTCTTGGGAACTCAGGTTTTCTGTTTTGCTTTGTGAATTCATACTCCATTTGTCCCTGCCTTGTGAAATTGTTTGTGAATTCATACTCTATTTGCCCCTGCCTTGTGAAATTGTTCCTGCGGGATTAACTCTGGCCCGTGTTTGGTTTTGCTGGAATTATATTATCTTGTTGTGCCATCATTAGTATAAACAGTAGAATTAAATTAACAACGACTGTAATGTGTTGCAGATAGGCATTTCAGTCAGTTTATGAGCTGTAATGCCGTCGAATAATGAGCTGGCTCATAATTTGGTAAATGGTATATAATCGAATCATCACATCCTAAAGAAAATGAGAACCTGTGTTACTCTTGCATAAAAATGGTATGGCCATGTCGAGATTGTTGTTTTTGTATATCACTCATATCCAACAGGGTAGGAGGAAGGAAGGAATCTTGATTTTTGCATTAGTAAACTTGTTTTTAAAGCAATATATATATTACGGTTCCTCTTCAACTTTAATTTGTTTTTGATGGGTCATAACACTGGAAACAGGTAGACGACATGTCAGCTGACTTCATCATTAGTCAGCTACTGTTGCTCGACTCGGAGGACAACAATAAAGACATCAAATTGTTCATTAATTCACCAGGTGGCTCTGTAACTGCTGGTAAGTCAAGAACTTAGCTTCCATCCTCGTTATACAACGATATCATTTTCTCTTGAACAAACTGTTTTCTCATGAAAAACAACATATTAGTATGAGGTACAATAATAAAAACTAACTCCACGCTTCTACTTTAAAAAAAATATAATCAATGCAGGAATGGGTATTTATGATGCCATGAAATTGTGCAAATGTGATGTATCGACTATCTGTGTGGGTATTGCTGCCTCCATGGGTGCATTCATTCTTGCCGCTGGTACCAAAGGAAAGCGATTATGTATGCCGAATGCGAGAGTGATGATCCATCAGCCACATGGAGCAGCTGGGGGCAAAGTATGTTTTACTTATTTCCTTGATACTTTGTTGCTTGGGATCGTTTTAGTTGTTCATATTCAAGAGAGTACTGTTCTTTCCTCTCTATGTGGTTAACTACTTCACCATATCCGTGCATTACCATCTTCAAGGTCTTCCATTTCCACCTTCCCTTTTAAATTTTGTTTTTCTTTCTCAACCTTTATTTCTTGAGGAGTATTATTGGCTCACAAAATTAGAGGGACACACGAGAAATGGTGTGGAGATCTGACAAGTCTTCGTTTGGACATTAATGCTGTAGAGGTAACAATAACAATAGGTCTTCCCTGTGAACCTGTGTAAGTTCAGGGTATTGTTATGCAGATCAACTTTGGTGAAGCAAAGATGCAATTTTTTGTGTTCATATTCTTACAGATGAAATGAGTTTCTACTTTGGCGTGATATTTGAATTTTGAGACCCTTGATTGGTACAACTAACAGTGCATTGATAAAAAACAGAGATTTAATCTATGTTCGGTTTATATCCTTATGCGGTTCAAATTGTACTAGTTCATGTCAGATTTCAACTTTTTACGTTTTGCCCTTTTTCCCTCTTTTGTAGATGCTCTCAAAATGGATACTTCCAGCTAGTGTTTGGTTTAGGAGTCCATCCGAAAGGAAAAAGAAAACAAATTGTACTAGCCATTTGACTATAATACAATTCTAAACCCTCGTATGCTTAGTTATGCAATTATTTTTGCCCAATACTACACCACAATGGCTACTGCTAACCTAAAGGGTAATCTAATTTACTAAGTAGTAATGGCATGTCCTTTTAAATCGTTTGTTTTTTGTTACTCTCCACACGCATAAAGGAAGAGTCTTCACTTGTTTACGTTGCTGAATGCGCCATTTATTTGCCCGTTGTTTACAACTATTGAAAAAACAGATCTTTCTTCTGATAAGTGTGCTTTTATTTTATTTTGTGCTTGCTATTCCAGCTAATAGAGACGGTCATCCGCGCGAATGAAATGTGTTATCACAAAGTCAAGATCAACAAGATACTGTCAAGAATCACGGGCAAACCTGAACAGCAGGTAGGCATTAATTCTTCTTCCAAAATATTTGAAAACTTATAAAACTGTACTAAAAAGTTGAAAAATGCGTTAAAAAACCCAACAAAGCTGGAAGTCCTTAAAAATCTTTTTAAAAGAATTTTCCTTAAATCCCTTTATCGAAGAAATCATAATATACTAAAAAGAACCAATATCCAAAATTATATCCCATGAAATCCGAAGACAAAAGAAAAAGAAAAAAGTTCCTCGTCTTAGCGGTGGTATGGCACACGTATATTTATTATTAGTTTCTGTAACCACTCATTCCTTCTTTTCGTGTAGTTCCTACTGTATTAATTAATTACTATATTGTTATCATTTGTTCTTAATACTCTATTGTGTCTCATTCAATCGTTTGGGACCTTGTCCAGATCAAATTGGACACCGATTGTGATAATTTTATGGATGCTTGGGAGGCAAAGGCATACGGGCTGGTGGATGAGATTATCAATGATGGCAAGCCCGGATTGGTTGCTCCCATTGGTGACTTGTCACCTCCACCAAAAATATTCACGTTGCCTTTATGGAAATTTGAAATCGGTGACGAGGTCGAGAATAATTTACCATCCGAAGAAAAACTTTTACAAAACGGGCTCGTGGGCGAAAGCATAGGCACTGAAGAGAAAAGCATAGACACTGAAGAAAAAAACATTGGCACTGAAGAAAAAGAGAAAGCACCAATTCTGTGAGATGCTGTCATGCTTTACTTTGCCATTGTTTAGAAATGGATGAACAAGTTCTGAGCAAATGTATCTTCAATACTTTTCATTAAATGCCATCTTTGAAAGTTAATCAACAATTTGAGAAGAGCCATCAGTTTAGCAAAATTT